CACTCAGAGAAATGAGAATGCTGGGAACTTGGTCAGGAAATACGTTTTTTTAATTGTAAAAAGTATTTGAGAGTGTAGTTGCTTCAGTCAGCACTTATGTATTTTAAAAAACACTCTAATGATCCAACAATTCCACTTCTGGGTATATATCCGAAAACATTGAAAGTAGGGACCCGAACAGATATTTGTACACCCATATTCGTAGCAGCATTATTCGCAATAGCCAAAAAGGTAGAAACAACCTAAATGTCCATTGACGGATAATGGATAAACAAAATGCGGTACTTTCACACAATGGAATATTATTTAGCCTTAAAAAGAAAGGAAATTCTGCCGCATGCTACAAGATGTATGAACCTTAAAGACGTTATACTAAGCGAAATAAGCCAGACACAAAATGACAAATATTGTATGATTACACTTTTATGAGATGCCTAGATTAGTCAAATTCACAGATACAAAAAATAAAACAGTGGTTACCAGGGACTAGAGGGAAGAGGGCAACGGAGAGTAATTGTTTAATGAGTACTGAGTTTCACTTTGGGATGGTGAAAAAGTGGTGATGAATAATAGTCTGATGGCTGCACAACAATATGAACGTACCTAATGCCACTGAACTATACTCTAAAAAATGGTTAAAATGGTAAATTTTGTGTTATGTATAGGTTACCACAATTTTAAAAAAATCAACCTCTTAAAGAATGTGCAAATACTGAGAGTGAATGAAAGGAGTGTTTCCAGGAAACAAGTAGAATCTATATGCCTAGGTTCAAAGTTAGACTCTGCCACTTACCAACTGTGCACCTCCTTTTTCTCATCTGTAAAATGGGGGCAATAACAAAGACTAAAAAAAATAATGTATAGGGGCCAGCCTGGTGGCATATTGGTTAAGTGTGCATGCTCTGCTGTGGAGGCCCAGGGTTTGCAGGTTCAGATCCCGGTCACAACATAGCACCACTTGTTAATCCATGCTGTGGTGGCATCCCACATAAAGTAGAGGAAGGTTGGCACAGATGTTAGCTCAGCAACAATCTTCCTCAAGCAAAAAGAGGAAGATGGAAGATTGGCAATAGATGTTAGCTGAGGGCCAATCTGCCTCATTAAAAAAAAGGAAATAATGTAGGTATTTCATAAATATTATTTTCCTTTTCAGTTAAAAAAAATCACTTCACAATTTGAAGGTTTTCCCTCAACAGAAATAGACTTCAGATATATTAATGTGCATCTTTCTTGCCAAACAGAGAATAACTTCAAAGAAGAAATAGGGTGGCTGTCAGGGAGCAAAGATGTGCCAAGCTTGCGCAGGAAAGGCCCCCCCCTTCCTGATGCAAAGACTGAGACTACACGAAATGCCCCAGTAAACACGTGGCTCCCTCAGCCTGGCAACCAGCCCTACAGCATATGCCTTCTGCCCAAATCCCAGAAACATCTGTTTCATCAACTCTACTGTCTTTGATTTTTACCTTAAAGAATCTGCAACTAAGTAAAATATTAAGATGTGAGAACTAAGTAGAACTTCCAAGTTCTCAGAAAGCTGATGGTCTGCTCAGAAATGGGCAGAAGATTCAGTATGTCTCAGCAGAGCTCATTAGCAGAGACAATGGTTCCAGGGAGAAGTAAGACAATGTCCTGTTGGAGAGCTGTCACTACCACTGGTTAAAAAGGGAAATTGGAGGGCTGGCCCTGTGGCTGAGTGGTTAAGTTCGCGCGCTCCGCTGCAGGCGGCCCAGTGTTTCATTGGTTCGAATCCTGGGCACGGACATGGCACTGCTTGTCAAGCCATGCTGAGGCAGTGTCCCACATGCCACAACTAGAAGAGCCCACAATGAAGAATATACAACTATGTACCGGGGGGCTTTGGGGAGAAAAAGGAAAAATAAAATCTTTAAAAAAAAAAGGAAACTTGGAAATTATTATAACTCTTGAGTGTGTGGCCATAAAGATTTTCAAAAATATAAATGTGACAAAAGCACTTAGATATTCTCATAACTTCTAAACATTTTCATGCTCCTGGTTTATATAAGGAGGAATTTTTCTATCAGAAAGTGTGTCAAAACCAGAAATACACTAATGGGAAAATATTTCCAAAAATCTAAATAAGTGATCAAATCTCTCGGCTTGTTTTTTTAGAGATATCTGCATAGTGCAGACACAACAATGCGCAGCAGAATACATGAGCTTAGATGTGTTATTAATTACATGGCATCCCCCACATCAACATATTTAAAAACTACAAAGAACCTCAGAGATCATTTGTGGTAGAGCCAAGACCAGAATCCAGGGCTGCAATTCTCAGTTCAGTACATGTCCCACTCTATATACTGTTGCTCCAAAGGGTCACAGGGCAGGGTTCATAGAACCCCATTAAGCTCCCATACTCAATATCGGCATAACAGAGCCCATGTAGTCAGAGCCATTTGGACAACTCTGAGTGTGATCCTCAGACGCCACCTCATCCAAAACAAACCTTAGTCATTCTGTGATTTCCAGCTACACTTAGAATCCACATTGCACCTCCCAACATGTGACCATTCTGCTCGGCCTTGTTGCCTGGTTGTTAGCCAATGCCCACCCCACCCTGTGAATAACAGCTTCTTCAATGCTGAAGTTCGGACAACAGGTATCTTGTCTCCTGCTTTGCATCACAGCTCTTCTAAAGAGACACCCCCGTGGTCTTAATTCATGGAAAGCAATCATTTCCACTGTACAAAATTCAAAACCCTAGGGAGGCAGTTTAGTAATTTAGCATTTTTGTTTCATGTGAAAATATTATTTCTAGTTCACAATGGGAAGTTCAAAAACATTGTTTCTTATCATTAAAAGCTTTCAGAAGTATGTAATCTGGGCTGTTTAAAGGTATGTTCCCTATAAAATGCCCTGAGGTACAGCAGACCGGTCTTTCCACAGAGAAACGCCTTCAATATCTTCCGTTCCTTAAGGAAAAAGGTCTTTAATTTAGAGCTGAATTAGTCATACAGATAAACACTTTAAAGTCCTTGGAATCTGCAGTTAGTTTTAACAAGCTTTTAAGATAAGTTAGGAGTATGCTCTATCTGTTGTGATGACTGTGAATTAGAAGAAGAGAAACACATGGGCTTGTCCATTCAAGATTTTTTTTTTTTTTGCCCTCGTAGTCTGTGCTAGACTCTTTAAGGAAGTTGAATAATGTATGGATCTTGCCCTCAGGGATCTTCTAATTAAGTGAGGGCCCTGTACTGAGTTCAATAGTGTCCTCCTCCCCCCCAAATTCATGTTCACCCAGAACCTCAGAATGTGGCCTAGCTTGAAATAGGTTTTTGCAGATATAATTAAGATACAAATGAAGATGAGGTCATATTGGATTAGGGTCGACCGTAAATCCAATCACTAGTATCCTTATAAGAGGAGAGGATACACAGACACAGAGACACAGAGACACACAGGGAGAAGGCCGTGTGACGGTGAAGGCAGAGATTGGAGTGATGCATCTGCAAGTCAAGAAACACCACGGATCGCTGGCAACAGTCAGAAGCTAGGAAAAGCTGGCTCCTTAGATAGCTTTGCGGGATCATCGCCCCGTCCTTATTTGGAATTCTGGCCTCCAGAACGCTGAGAGAACAAACTTCTGTTGTTTTAAGCCACCTGGTTTGCAGTAACTTGTCCAGCAACCCTAGGAAATTAATACAAGCCCCCATTGCCAAAGAGCCTGGCTTAATTGGCCTGCAGTGGACTTGGGAAACTGTATTTTTTTAAAAGCTCCCCAGGTGAGTCTATGTTTGAAAATCACCAAACTAGAGGGATGGTTATCAAAGTCTCCAGAGCAGCAGCAGTAGCAGCATCAACTGGGAGAAATGCAAATCTTCAGGCCTCCCACAGCCCTACCAAATCAGAAATTCTGGGGGTCGGGTCCAGCAATTTGTAGTTTCTCAAGCTCTGCAGGTGATTGTGATGCCACTAATGTTTGAGAACCACTTCTCTGGTTGATAAGGGAGGCGTCAGAGCAATGGAAGATAATCAACAAACAGGAATGGAGAAAAGCAAAAGACAGGAATATTTTAGAAAGTAAGAGAAGAGTGTTTGTATGTTTCATGGACAGCACTAAGACGGTGCATGAGACCCTCAATACCTGGCATTACTTAGAGATGAAGGTGTATCCAAACAACAATCTTCCAGGTTCAGTGTTTGAAGACAAACTGTTTCCAAATTTGGGGGGCTGTCTTTATAATTTTTTTGCTATTAGGGTATGTGGCCATCCAGACTGTACATTAAGATTGTATCTGGACCAAAACTAACAGAATTGGAGACCCCAGTCTCTGTCACTCACCGAGATCAATAATTAGACAACTATCTGCAAACAAAAACTGTCCACTTAAAATTCAGCCACACAGTGGAACAGAAAATATGAGAATAATATCACAAAAAGAGAAGTAAAAACAGCTTCATTGTGCCGGCATCATCTCATCCCCTAGGCCAGTGCTACTGGGCACCAAGAGGGAATTCCCTACCTAGAAGGTGTTCCACTCACTGGGAAAGGGAGAGTGGGTGAGCAACCAGTTTCCCCAGCCTTTTGGTGCCCTGCTTGAAAGACCTGCTTTGGTTTTACCCCACCCAGAGATCAGCAAACTTGAGACACATAAAGATGGCTAGGAACAAGGAAGGGCAGGGGCTCCCAATGTCAGCCACACAGCAGGAGTAACCACGGTTCCCAGTGACCAGCTCTGCAGAGGACCCCAGCAGGTTTTCCTACTGAAGAAAGCAATGGCCAGCATGGCTGCCCAGATCCCCTGCGTATTTCACAGTTTTTTGCCCCATAGCTATTCAAATTCATTGATACTAGCCACCTGAGTCCATACCTGCTCCCTACCCACCCAACCCCACCCCTATCATTGGCCAGGGTCTGTACCAACAGCCAGTCTAGGCCTCTGAGGTCACTTGAGCGTAAAACCCTAGCCTAGATCCACCACCCCAGCTGACTTCTACTGCTATGCATGCACTCAGGGCAAGCCCCTCCAGCTGTGTACCTGCATGCCAGTGGCCTGATGTCCATCACCAGCATCCACTGCCATGTGTGTGCCTGTGGCAATATCCCACAGCCATGAAAATGCACACTGACAGCCAAGGCCTCCACGGCTATGTGTAAGCCCAGATTTGGCCCTATCTCCTATCACTGATCTGCACTGCTGGGCTTGCTTGCAACCAGCTCTTTCAGCTGTGCACTTGTACCCTACTGGCCCAATTCCAGTCACCTGACCTCCACTGTTGTACATGCACTCATGGCAAGAGCTTCCAGCCACAGGAATGCATGCCAACAGCCAGGATTCTCACAGCAGCCAGTACCCCCCCCCACCCCAGTTGACCCTGGCCCTTGCTGCTGGCCCTGGCCCCAACCACTGTGTGTCTGCTGTCTGCAACTGACCCCAGCCAGTACACAGGCCTCTGCAGCTGAGTGTGTGCATACCACCAGCTCTGGCTACCACAACTACCCAACCTGGTCCCTAATTGCTGCATCTGGAGGCACCACTGAGTACCCCAACAGCCTTTGCAGCTTACAGGGACCCTCCACAACACTCACCAAGGACCATGAAGTTGTCAATGCTGTGGACTCCAGTGGCCTGAACCAATAAGACATCATGCTCCTATTGACCCAGAGCCACAGCATGTCCCCACACTTGGCACCCTACACAACTAGACTCAGAGTCACAGCATGCTCCAGTGTGCTTCCATCTGCAGATGAAGTTCTTCCCTTGTCAATGTCAGTCCATAAAGTTTGGAAGAAGTGACTGCTTCTTCAAATGTGCAGATACCTATGCATGGTTACAGGGATCACAAAGAATCAGAGAAATATGACATCACCAAAGGAACACAGTAAACTTCCAGTAACTGACACCAAAGAAATGGAGTTTTGTGAATTGCCTGACAATGAATTAAAAATAATTGTTCTAAAGATGTTCAGAGAGTTACAACAGAACACAGATAAACAATTTAACAAAATTAGAAAAAAAATACAAGAACAAAATAAGAACTCCAACAAAGAGATAAAAAACATAAAAAAGAACCTAACAGAAATTTTGGAGCTGAAGATACCATGACTGAACTGAAGAATTCAATACAGAACTTCAACAGCAGACCAAGCAGAAGAAAGAATCAGTAAGCTTGTAGCAGATCATTTGGAATTACACAGTCAGAGGAGCAAAAGAAAACAAAATGAAAAGGGATTAAGAAAGCCCGTGAGATTTATGGAACATCATTAAAAGAAACAATCTATGTATCATTGGAGTCCCAGAAGGAGACGAGAGGGAGAAAAGGGCAGGAGTTTATTTAAAGAAATAATGGTTGAGAGCTTCCCAAATAGGGGGAGAGATTTAGACATCCAAGTTCATGAAACTAATAGGTTAACCCCAAATTTTAATCAAAAACAATCCTCTCCAAGATATGTTATAATAACACTGTCTAAAATAAAAGACAAAAAGAGGACTTTAAAAGCAGCAAGAGACAAAAAGCCTCTTATATGAGGAAAGCCCCATAAGGCTATTAGCAGATTTGTCAGCTGAAACCTTACAGGCCAGGAGAGATTGATACAATATATTCAAAGCACTGAAAGGAAAAACTGCCAACTGAGACTACTTTACCCAACAAAGCTGTCTTTCAGAAATGAAGGTGAGATAAAGACTTTCTAAAACAAACTAAAGCTGAAGGAGTTCATCACCATTAGATCTGCTTTATAAGAAACACTGAAAAGAGTTCTTCAAGCAGAATTGGAAGGATGCTAATTAGTAACATGAAAATACACAACATACTGGTAAACATAAGTATACAGTCAGTTTCAGAAAACTCTAATACTGTAATATGGTGGCGTGTTAACAACTTAACTCTAGTATAAAGGTTAAGGGCAAAAGTATTAAAAATAGCTATAGCTACAATAATTTGTTAATAGATATATAATATAAAAAATGTAAATTGTGGCATTAAAAACATAAGATGGTATGCAGGGAGTAAAAGTGTAGAGTTTTTGTATACAATTAATGTTAAGTTGTTATTAACTTAAAATCAACTATTATATCTATAAGATTATACGATATTTCAAGTAAACTTCAGGGTAACCACAAAACAAAAACCTATAGTAGATACACACAAGATAAAGAGAAAGGAATCAAAATATATTACTGTGGAAAAGTCATCAATTCACAAAGGAAGACAGCAAGAGAGGAAGTAAGGAACAAAGGAACTATAAAAGAGACAGAAAACAATTAACAAGATGGCAATAGTACTTACCAAATAATAATTATTTTAAATGTAAATGGATTAATTTCTACAATAAAAAGGCAAAGACTGGTTGAATGGATATAAACAAACAAACAAAAAAGACTCAACTATATGCTGCCTACAAAAGACTCAATTCAACTTCAAAGACACACATAGTCTCAAAGTGAAGAGATGGAAAAAGATAGTCCATGAAAATATAAGCCAAAACAGAGCAAGTCTATCAGAGAAAATAAACTTTAAGTCAAAAACTGTAGCAAGAGACAGAGAAGGTCATTATATAATGATAAAGGGGTCAATTCACCAAGAGGATATAACAATTGTAAATATATATGCACCCAACATTGGAGCACCTAAATATATTAAGCAAATACTAACTGATCTGAAAGGAGCAATAAACAACAATACAATAATGGTAGGGGATTTCAATACCCCACTTTCAACAATGGATAGATAATCCAGACAGATAATCAATAAGGAAACATTGCACATGAATGATTCTTTAGAGAAAATGGACCTAACAGACATATAGAGAACATTCCATCCAACAGTAGCAGAATACACATTCTTCTCAAGAACATTCTCCAGGATAGATTGTATGATAGGCCACACAAGTATCTTTTCCAATCACAATAGTATGAAATCAGGAATCAATAACAGGAGCTGGAAAATTTACAGATATGTAGAAATTAAATACTATATTCCTGAACAATCAATAGGTCAAAGAGGAAATCAAAAGGGAAATAAAAAAATATCTTGAAACAAGTGAAAATGGAACAACATACCAAAACTTATGGGATGCAGCAAAAGCAGTTCTAAGAGGGAAGTTTACGGCAATAAATGCTACAATTTAAAAAAAAGACTTCAAAAAAGCAACCTAACTTTATACATCAAGGAACTTGAAAAAGAACAAATTGAGCCCAAAGTTAGCAGAAGAAAGGAAATAACAAAGATCAGAGCAGAAATAAATGAAATAGAGACCAGAAAAACAAAAGAAAAGATCAATGAAATTAAGAGTTGGCTTTTTGAAAAGATAAACTACTTGACAAAACTTTAGCTTGACGTATATGATAAGTCCATGGCTAACATCATACTCAACAGTGAAAAATTGAAAGCTATCCCTTTAAGAACAGGAACAACACAAGGATGCCTACTTTTGCCACTCTTATTTAACATAGTATTGGAAGTCCTAGCCAGAGCAATTAGGCCAAAAAAGAAACAAAAGGGTTACAAATTGGAAAGGAAGAGGAAAAACTGTCACTATTTTCAGATGACATGATTATAGAACACCCTAAAGAATTCATCAAAAACCTATTCGAACTAATGAATTTAGTAAAGTAGCAGGATATAAAATTAGTATACAGAAATTCGTTGCATTTCTATGCACTAATAATGAGCTATCAGCAAGAGAAATTAAGAAAATAATCCCACTTACAATTGTATCAAAAAGAATAAAATAACTTGATGTACTAAACATTACTGCTCATTGACAATGCACTCAGTCACCCAAGAGCTCTGATGGAGATGCATGTGTGGAGGACTTGTTTTGTGACTTAGTTCCCTCACTGTCAAATGCAGATAATAATACTTGTCTTACCCATCTTACAGGGTAGTCATGAGACTCAAATGAGTTAAAGCCCCAGAACTGCTTTATATACTGTAGGGCTGGAACTAGGGTGAGGAGAGTGAAGCACCTGCCTCAGGACACAAAATTTAACAGGGTACAGAAAAACTCTGTAATCAAGATAAACCATACTTCAATGCATTATTTTTTAAAAATAAGAATTAATGCAAAAAAAATCCACGATGAGTAAACCATCAAAATTTTCAATAAAGACAGAATCAGTGTCACTTAATTTTCCTTTGGCCTCAAGCCCTACTATGGTACAGCAATGACATTGTTGCTGATGCCATCTTTATTGAAAATTTTGATGTTTTGTTCATCGTGGGGTTTTTCCATATTAATATTGACTTTTAAAAAACACTCTATCAAAATATTTTTAAATTACTTTATTACTGTATTGTGCCCACTTAAATTTTGTGCCTCAGGCAAGTGCCTCACAGGTCTCACCTGCCTCACCCTAGTCCAGGCCCTACAAGCTGGGATGAGTTGTGCAAATGCAGGCTATCATTTTTATCTGGCTCTGACTCTTCAAGCTCCAAAGTTCTCTCAGATGGCTCCATGCACATGTCAATGCCCTGCTAGCATCTTGGCTACTTTCCAACTGCTGAATGGTAGGAACAGAAGGCAGGCATGCATTCAGTGCTTTTCAAGGGACCTCCCTTCCCAGGGACACTGGAGAAGAACTCTTCATTGGGATGTTCAGTGTGTAAACAAGTCTAACTTGAGTAACTGGAAAATCTGCCCTCGTTTTAGGAAGAACGCCTCCAGCAGCTACACACTCATCTTAAGGAAGTTTGGATTTGCAAGTTGCCTCACCTGTGGCTTCCTATTTCAGAGGCTGTTATCACGTACCAAGAGCTGGCTTCAGTCCCCTTGCACTGGAGGCAAAAATAAGTGACACTTGGCCTGGATAGCTGGTGACCAGGGGATGAAAAGAAAAATAAGGGCCTTGAGGGTATGGAAGAGGGATGTGTGATCTACTGAGCAGAAAGAGGCCTCCTCCTCTTCGTGCTGATGCTGGTAGCCCCCCATTACCCAGGATGGCAGCTTAAAATCTGGTGATAAGACACAGATTGAGGTGGAAGTCAGGTACCTGCTTCCTTCCCTCCTGCCAGCCCAAGAGGTCTGGGATAATGCTTTTAACGTCTCTCATGGGACCTGATATATGTGCAATGTCTGCTACACAGGGAGGAAAAGGAGAGGCAAGGATGGTATGAAAAGGGAGAAGGCCCGGCATTAGACTCCCAGCTGGGCAGACCAGAGGACTCTGGGACCATGAGAGTAAGCATCTGGCCTTTACATAGCAGCAGATATACTTGGAGAGACCCAACTCCAGGGTCACAACTGAGTAAACATGGATCTGAGAGCAAGCGGACGACAGCC